GTCGGTCAATGTGATTTAACCGGTGGTCCAAGGCCCTACTCAACGTCGCTATTTAGAAAAATTACGTCACACAAACCGTATTTTTATACATTTTGTGCATTTGTTGGCATGGTTACCAATCTCTACCACTACATTTTGTCCACAGGCTAATTCATCAGCAAGATCATCATCTATCCCCACCTTGTTATGTAACGTGCACGTTCCCGTGTTAAAGATCAAGTCATACATCTGATAATTTGTATCCACCTTCTGCTAGCCTTTATTAGACGGAACTATGATCGTGCTAAATGCGACTTATCCTCCGGGTGATAACTTATCATACATTATGATTTGAACTCTTTTTATAAAAAATTAATCATATATAACATTTCCAAAACTATATTATCAAAATATTCGATGAAGAATTTTTATAGTGCTGCGTCAACAAACTTTCTAACAGATTATTTTTATCAATAAACATAATTTGACATAATTTGATAAAAAATTATTTATTTTTAAATATATCAAACTTTTTTATTTATTGCGTTGAGGGCAGTGGTCTAAAGTAAATATACCTTAGGGCCATGGGTACCATAGCCCAGAACAGCGGTCTGAGAGGACTGGATTATGCCATCCCTCGCGCTATTTTTTAAATAAAAGACGGCTTAAGTTTTTCTATGTTTTGAACGTCTTTTATAATTGTTGTTTACAGTTGAAGTAAAAAATAACTATAATATATAATTTTATAAATAACAATACAAGATAAATTTTATATCACTATAAGAAAAATATATTTTTTTATAGCAAAAGCTAAATATAAGGCTTAACTAAAATAATTTTGATAGAAAATATGTATAGTTTACTCAATAATTTTAAGAGTAAAGTTAATCTTAATTTCACTAATTAAAATTTGTTAAATTTGTAAAGAATAAGATAAGCTAAGTTAATTCTAACAAATACGTATTGTTTTACTTTAAATAATACTCAGTAACTGTTAAAAAATCAGCTTTATTAAAAAAAAAAGTGTTGTTCTTATAAAATCACTATTTTTTCCCATATATTTTTCTGTTTCCAATAGTTGGGTTAATACAATTATAGTAATACCCTATCTTGATCACAAAAGTAGCTTTATATGGTTTAATTTTAGCAAAGTTGAAATGATATTTATTGATGCTCCCTTGAATTTTTATTAAATTATTTTTTCATTTTCTTATAATAATCTGAAACTGAAAAAGAAAATAATTTTTTTTTTCTTTAGCTTTTCAGGGTATTTTTCAAAATCAAGGAGCTCAATAATGTTATTTTAATAATTCAAAAGTACATTAAAACAAAGCCTTCATATTATTCTAATTCGACATTTCTTTTATGTATTTTTAACTTTGCACAAAACCTTAAAATATTAATAAAAACAATTTTAAATATCTAACCTAACGTTCTGTGACACAACTTGAACTTATAGAATTCTAAAATGTACTACTTAAATATAATTAAATCTGAAATTCACCAAATTTTCGGTCCGATTTTGTAGTTTTTTGCATAGTAATGAAAAACTTACATCATTCAAAATTATATCAAATTAAAACTAATTACTAAAAACTTAATACTACATGATTGGAAAAAGAATAATGTTCCAACAACTTGTTTTTTATGAATAATCGGGCTTCTTGAATCAAATGCTATCTAATATTTAAATATAATAAATTATTGTTTAATTTGTTTTAAATACGCATAAAAGTATTTTATGACAGTGATTTCAATCAGTTTCAGATATAAATAAATAATAATCTAAAAAATACTTCAACTTCACTACGCTAGATATCCATTGTTTTTAACTTTTTTTCGTGATTTCTTTTAACTATTAAAAATTTTTTTAATTATTTTTTTTGGTAACCATATATGGTTACCATATAAAAGTGGGTGTAAACTCTTTTAAGTTATTAAAAGAAATAGGTTTGACAATTTGTTTTTTTTTTTACTAGCAGATGGTATTTTAATTACCAAATAAAAACATAAAATTAAATATTAAATTTTGCTAGTTATACTCATTATTGAAAGAAAATATATAATAAATAAGTAAATGTTATGTTTTGTTTTACAAATTTTGAATATTTGGTATTCTTTAAATTATTATATTGCCATAATTTCATGAAAAATTAATAACAACGCATAAATCACTTGGAATTCAGCTAAAAAGCAAACCATAAAATTAATAAATAACATTAGTGAACATAATTTCATCCATGAAATAAATTCATTATGCTAATCAGTACTTAAAAAAAAATAATAAATAAACATTCTCACGTGTATTTTATTCAAATATTATAATATTAAATAACTTCAAAATGCGATCACAAACATCAATTTTCATAATATTATTATAATCGAAGAGTGATAATATTAAAAAATTGAATTATCAAATTTACAGACGTTTCAAAGTTCAGTAACAGCGTCAATAAATTTATATAACTAAGCACTATTCGAGTTTCAGTTAAACACTTATTTCAGATAACAGTCTAAAGGCTCATAAATATTATCAATGTCCATTTGAACTAATAAAATATTACCTATATTGGTATGAAATTAATTTAAAACATTTTTAAATAACAATTTTAATAGTGTTAAATAACAAAGAACACATATTTTATATTAAAATTCTATTAATAACCTCATTTCAATCTCACATAGTAAATAATAGTAATAGTATCTAATCATTTATTTTCACATCTTTGAGTTCTGTAATTAATCTTGTATTATACTGTCAAAAATAGACTTTTATTATCTTAGAGTACTCAATTTCTTTGCAAATAATTACTTAGAACTTTAATTTTAAAAAATGTATACTATGATTTCTAGTTTGATTACTAGAATGAAACAATTATGATATAATAGCGTTAAAAAGCACTGTGAAGAAACTGGCTTCTAACATCTAGTTTTATACTTATGTTGAATTAAATGCAACTATTTGATATAGTTTAAATTTAATCTAACATTCTTTTCGCAATGAAATAACAAAACAAATCATTAAATCAAAATGCTATAATAGCAATCCTACTAATTAGCGCCATATAATATTTTATGGTATAAGATATAAAATATATGTCTTTACATGGATTTACTGTTTGTAATATCGTACAGTAGTCCTAATTTAGGTATGAATGCTCAGAGAATGACTTAAATTGGAATAAAATTACAATTACAATAAAATAGATCATTATAAATTTATTCACTTAATACAATTCTCATGAGATTTCTTCTTTGGCATCAACCTATTAAACCGATTTAACTCAAATTATTCCTCCTATAGTAAAACATATTATTCCTTCAATAGTAATAAAAAATAATTTTCGTTATTTGAAATTTTAATTGGTTAAATTTAAGTTATCGATACATAAGCTCTCATTAAAACATTTCCCAAAGTAAGAGCAAATTTATATTACTACTTCCCTGGAAAAATCCTAAAATGTTCACATGTAGAATAAAGTAAATTAATTATAATTGATTACCTACCTATATATCACATGTATTCAATTGTAAATATTCAGATATTAATATTCAATAATTCCCAATAGTTTATACTATTTAAGTAAATTCTTTTTTTTTTAATATTATTTACAAAATGAATATTAAGTTAATACAATAAACTTAATTTATAACATGACTTTATCAACTATTCTGTTTATCAAAACATCAAATCAATAATTATAACCCTTTCAATTATATTTTTAATCCTAGATTTATATAAGCAGTTTACCTACGTAATCAACTAATATATAAAAAACTCGTTCTATTCGTAGTATAAATTTCTTATTATGAAAAATAGCTTACATTATACTAATAACACACAAACTCTGTTGTAGTAAATCTAATGTTGGAAAATATTCTTCTCGTTTTTTTACCGAAATTAAATAACGTATTAAATAGTTATAGATATAGTTATTAAAATAAAATATTTCTGGTATTTAAATGCAACATGGACATGATTCCTGTTAATCAAGTATTTACCATTAAACATCCATGTATTTGGTTCATATGATTTATATTTTAAAATCATAGACACCATTGGTAAACATTGAAATCCATGTATCTGTATACAAAAATAAACATACACACGTTATACACGTTATACACGTTATTAATTATGTGAATGAGTTTTTAAAAATTTAAATTGTATTAAATATATTTTTTGACACTAAAACCAGGAGCGGAGTTATGAAGATTTAAGCTGAGTCTATTTACTTAAAAATGTCTTATATTTCTCGATTTATCATATGTCAAATAGCAAGAGTTGGCTTGCTTGAAGTTATCATTTTTTAGTGAGTATGATATCTTAGTCTCATATCACAAAATCAAATTTATTTGTAAATTTTAGGATAGGTCTACTTTAGACAATCAATGGCGTCGTTACTACTTAATATAAGAAGTATAATACTTCTTTCATTCAATGTGACACGTTACCGTGATTCCCTCAGCCGCACATTACGTTACCAAAAGTACGAAAGTGTATCGGAAACTGAAAAATAAGTGCACGGTGGCCTAGTCCTAAGGTTTGTTTGTACGACGCCTTGGGTTTTTCATATAATTTCCGGTACACTTTTTATGACCGGCCGTCAATCACCAACGGCCGTATTAAATGGCTAGCAAACGTCAAATAAATGTTATTCTATAATCTCATAAAATATTATACAGCATATTGAATAAGTAAAAAAACTCATCCATTGTTACACATAAGCGTAATTTATGAAAAAAATAGGATGAGAGCGCTAAATTGATTCTTCTCCACGCTAAATTTTATTTGTATAAAAATACATATTATTTTCTTAAAGTTAATTTTTGTCTATGATTGCTACAAATAATAGAAATAATGGGAACCTATTTCCACAGGTATTTAACACTCTGTATAATTTTACAAAATGATAACCCAATAATCTATAAAATTCATAGAAATAATTATAATTTTAATCAAGGACTTTTTAAATGCTATAAGCGAGACTTATAAAAATTGTTTTTATGTTTTAACTCACCTGGACGACAATCTTGAAGCAAGTAGTCCGATGATACAATATTGTTCTCTTCGGCTACGTAATAGCAATGGTTAAACACGTCTTGGCCTTTGGACGCGCAACCCATGTGCACTCCAACGGTACTATCATTAAGCTACAATCTCCTTGATTGTGGCAGATGGTCTATATCACATGGTATTTTACCTCCACCTTTACAGACTATCTGAAAAAATATAATTAAAGTTTGAAAACTTTTTCAATATTTTTAATTTAATACACAAAATAGTTTTCTAACTAATCGTATATTTTTCCCATTTTATATAACAAAACATACTAGAAATACCTTAATATATATCCTTGTATAACTCTTAATTACAAATTTTAATTCTAATAGAAATTATATTTTATAACGAGTAGTAGTATATGCAAGTAATTTTGAAACAATATAATCTATAGCAATCCATCAATTTAATTCACGTTAAAAAAACGTTAAGAGTTATAACAACGAATCTTTAGGGGAGGTTTCTTAACCATTTATGTTTTAGGATAGGTGGTTAGTTTGTCACCGAAGAGCATGATAACAACTCTAATTATATCTCACTCATTTAATAGAGCCACTTTTGACCGAGAAAATGATAAAAATTTGAATTTTACTTAATATAGACGTAAATAAGATCTAAAAATTTTAAATTATAAATTAAATTATTTTAAAATAATTTTATATTATAGTACTTACAAACTACTTACCTAACGGAGATATCATTATAATAATGAATAAAATATTCTTATACAGAGATGTAATTTAAAAATAAAAAGGTAATTTCTTTTATATTTTGATTAATGTCAGTCTTTATTATTGGTTAAATTTAAATGACAAAATATAAAATTACAAATATATACAGAGCAATTCACGACTTTTTGACAAATCTAATAAATTTTGATATTCTTAATATCACAGAATATAAAATACTTTGTGTTACTTTTTTTTTTTAAATCATTTATGCATTCTTAGACCACGTTAAAATCATATTTTACCGAAGATGCGAAGCTGACAAGGTATTATTTTTCTATGATATGACTTTTTTGTCTGTTATCTCTTTTTCTCAGCTCTAAACGAACCAATTTCTTTCAACAATATGTTAAAAGTGCACAATTTGTATCTAGTCGATGATATTACCCTCAAAAATTGAAAAATTTTCTCTCGTTCCACGTAAATAAAAAAAATCCCTCAAAAAATTACAAAATTTTTTTTAAATCGTCATAACTTTTTTGAAAAATGATTTTTTTTTTATGAACTTATAAATATATATAAAGGGAAATGGTTTTATTTAAAAAAAAGGTATGTCGAATAAAAAAGGTATATAAGTACTATTTTTCAATAAAAAACTGTATTGATCCATATATTGTTCAAAAAATTATAGCATTATAAAATTAAAAATATAACATTTTTTTTTTACTTATTGAACCCCCCCTGTATAAAGGGTAATGGTCCGATTAAAAAAAAAGTATGTCGCATAAAAGATGAATACTTATCTTAAAAAAAATATGATGATCCATAGAATTTTTAAAAAGTAATAGCGTAATAATGTTAAAACTATAAAAAAGAATATTTTTACGAAAGTCGTATTTATTTTATAATTTTGATGTTAGTTTTTATCGTGAAAACAAAATAAAGTCCGAATTTTTTTGTCCATGATAAAATATATTACATAAGATTTAATTTAAGGGATATATAAAAGTGTCAGACTTTCCGGAACACTTTCAAAAGTTAATTTTTTTTGAAAAATTTGTCATTTTGAACCCCCTCCCCCTGTAGTAAGGTAAAGGGTCAGATATATTCAAAAAAAAAATACCATATGATAGGTAAAGACATCATGCGTCTATTAAAAAGAAAAAATTATATTGATTTGTTCATTTTTGAAAAATTTATAGCAATTTTAACCAAAAAAATTGAAAAAATTTGGAAAATTAGCGATTTTTAAATTTGTAATTTTTTTGGATGTTTCTCCCAATTACGGGGAACGAGGGAATTTTTTTCAATTTTTGAGGGTAATTTCTGCGACTAGATATGTGTTGTGATCTTTGACGTATCTTTGAAAGAAATCGGTTTGGTGGTATCTGAGAACTAGTAGTAACAGACACAAAAAAAATAATAAAAAAAAACCATCATAGTAAAATTAATATCTTCTTAGCTTCGCATCGAAGCTAAAAATGATTTTGGGTTTCACATATATTTAATAAAGGATTTTTACAATTATAATCAATTTTTATAATACGCTAAATAAAAATTTATTTTGATTTTTAATATGAAAACAATAATCCATGCAAAATTTCGATTTAAAATGCCATGTTTAACCAATTTTTTTGTCTTTAAAGTTGCTTTTTATAAGACTTTATAATTTAAAATGTTGAACTTTTAACTCTTATTTTAGTTCAAATTGAAAATTGAAAATTTGAAATTGATATCATTAAATAAAAATTTTTATGAAGAATTCAAAAATGGTTTTTTTTAATGATATATGGTCAAAAATTTATATAATTTCTATTAACAGTAAATTTATGAAAAAGCTCAAATTTTCGTTAAAATCATTTATTATTTTTTCTATATTTATATCGTAATAAATTATTTCAATAGAAATACTAATAATTTCTATGTAACTCTTTGTAATAAATATATGTTACAATTAAAATATTCCGTATACTTATAACCTATAGTTTTTAACTAATTAGTAATCCAATTGCAAATTTGAAATCAGGGTGAAAATTGATCAAAAAAAGTATATTGTTTTCTAATAAAAATTCTTTAGACCTTTTTTCATCATTATATAACAAATTATTTTCTGAAAAGTTTGTATCAAGCCCTTCCATTTTTAAACACATTTACCATAAAGGTTATAACAACTTTATAATTTTTTCATAAAAATTACAATAATAAATTATTAATTATCAATTTCATACTATATTTAATTGCTATAATAAATATGTATTCATATATTATACTTATACATCAAAGAACAATTAATCAGGAATAAGGAATGAAATAACAGTTAATTTTTCATTTGGTATAATACACGAATTTCTTAAAATTAAATACTATCTACAGCTTTGCAACGAAGCATTTCTTATGATAGTGATTTTAATCACTATCAGAATAAATCTATACTGGATCCAATTATGCCACGTCCCCACTGTGCTACCGTTTTTTTTATTATTTGTTTTTAATAAAAGAAAAAATGTTTTTCAAAATTAGCCATTAGCCATTAGTCATTTTTTAAAACATTACTTATTAAAATGTTATGGGTCAATAACGATTTTAGAACGAGTGCTTATTGAGTTAGAACCGTTTTAATACATAAAGTAGATATGCAGCACGTATAGAGTATGCATAATAAATATATACCATTACTAGCTGTACTTATTTGCACTACATATCCATTTTATGTATTAAAATGCTTGAAACTGAATAATTACACATTCTAAAATCATTATTGACCAATTAAAGTATTTTATAAGAAAAGTTCTAAAACCGAATATTTTGTAATTAAAAAAAAAAATTATTTTGTTATCAAAAACTAATAACAAAAAACATTTAGTAAATTAAAATATTCTAAATAAAATTTAGAATAATTAAAACATCCTGGAATACTCTATATGTATTGTACATACATAATTATATATCGTCGCTCAAAGAACAACACCACCTATAACACACTTTGGTCAAAATTAGTAACTAATATGTAAAATCATAAATTCACAATGAATCGATTGTTTCAGATTTTTGATAAAGTCAAATGATAATACGCTAATCAATTAATAAAATATGTGACAGATACTATCAATTTCATGAAAAAAATGTTATTTTGCTTTTTTGTAAATTGACAAAAATGAGATACGAGATGTTGCTTCTTAAGCGACGATGTATGTATAAAGGATTTCATTAAAATAATATATTATTTTATTGAAATCCTTAGAAATTTCATGAATCTATTAATAACATTTTAACCAAGGTAATCCTTCATTAACTATTCAAGTCTATTTAAACCGTATACAAATTATTCTTCAAAAACTTAATTGCTAAATCTCAATTGAATTACTTTATACGTATCATCGTAAACATTAACCAATAACTTTCCAAGCCATTTCACCCGTACGGTTTTAATAGCTTGTATAAACCGTTTCGTTGTAAAGTAATACTCTGAACATTTATAGCAACAGCTGATAATGATTCAAAGCACACCTTTATATTACTAATTTAAATTTTATGACAAAATAAACACAATTTGTGAATATTTTTCAATTAATTATAAAGAAATGATGGGAAAATATTAACCTTTTAATACTAGAGATGCAATATATTAAAAACATTTTTGTTGGACTGCGTGTGGTAAAACGACTATTTCAATGGTATAATAACTATTTATTGTATGATTCCTTTACGACTCTACCGCCACGTGCAAAATATACAAAGTAATATTTTTTATGCACACATTTAAAACACACTCTCGACCATGACCTATTGTATACATCGCATTTCGTGCGATCAACATACTGTATCCTGACCGTGAGTTGCAAGCGTATTAAATACATATAACGTGTTATGAAATGTCACGAAAATCATTTCTCACTAGGCTAACGTTACATTTGTAAACGTATATTAATCTGCATGACACGTTTTGATTTTTGATATCTAACAACTTACATTTAATTCTGTTGAAACCTATAAAAAATTACAACAGCAAATCAAATCAATTTTAAATTAATGCAAGCGCCTTCACAATATATCAAAACATACTAAATCATAATTAAACTCACCGTTTCATTTTTTTTTTTTATATATATAAGAACTCTTTATTAATTCCTTATTTTTTATGACAAGAATGATACATTATGTAATTTATAAAACCATTTATTTATAACAACATTTACACAATTATACAATAATTTTCATAAATTATTAAAAATTAATGATCAATTTGTGATTAATATTATAATTATTTATATATTATATGTACTATTATTATTCTAATAATTTATTTTCTGTAGATGGAAATAATGTATAAAATAGTTTATTAAAAATTAGCAGCTTGAACTTTTTTATCGATCGTCAAAACTTTCAATACTAAAAATATAAACAATAGTAGTAGTAATTTCAAAAAACCATTGGTGTATTTATAGTTTTATTTTTTTAAATAATGAAATCGTTTAAATCAAATAGTAAA